TGCTACCAACCCGACCCCACAGCTACACCTAGAAATCCTGTTCAAGCCTCCATAAACCTTAATGCTGACACAGCTCTTTCATTGGTGGTACTGGGACCAGATACCCCAAAGTAGCTCTGGTATCCTGTACTCCAGCATCAACCCCCATAAAAGGCCTTTTCCAAGTCAACAAATCTAAAGGAAAATTTTTTTTCCCAGCAGCTTTTCTTGAAAGAATATGGTTATTGCAAACTGGGAGAGGCTCAGAAATGTCTCAAAATTTCACATCAGACACAAAAAAGTGAACCTTCTTACTTTTCATAAGAAGACCTCAAACATGAAGTAAGAATGGAGTTTGAGTGTAACCCCAGAAGCCTTTAGCAGATCACGAGCACGCACGTCGGACCTGCATCTACTGAGACTTTTGTCCCTGGCACAGAAAAAAATTTCAAAATAAAATAAAAGATAGGCATGCCTTCAGGATTTCAAACATTTGAAGAAGAAAATGCCACCACAGCCAGCCGCCAAGGAAACCGGTGATGCATCACAGACCAATTAACATACAAACTCTGAAAATGCCCTTAGGCGAGAGGTCGTTCCCATCTTGGACGACCGGCACTACACAAAAGGTTGCTTTCACCACCGATAAAGGACAACAGCCGTAGAATTCACGACACAAGAGCTGCTGCCGAGCCTCAATGTTGGAGAAGATAGAGCTTGGAGCAATAAAACAGCTCAGAGCATCAAAGACACTCCAGCAAGGATGGACTTCAAACACATTTCAAAGAGTGTTTTTGCAATTAACGTGGGTTTTATCCAGTACCTTGTATTAAATAAAGACAATCTGTTAAAGCTGAACGACAGGCTCACCTGGAGACTGATTAGACCAAGGAAAGAACCCAATTCTACCTCCCAGTTACAACAAATATTCATTTTAGCTTTGAGCCTAAGAAAAGGAAGAGAAATAACTTTCAGCTGTGTGCCGTGCTCTTCATTGGTTTCACCTTTTCTGAAGCCTACAGCAAATGCCACAATAGAAATGAATGAAACATCTCTCCTTTCAAGCACCAACTCTGAAGAGCTAGCTAAATATAAAGACAATATGCTTCATTAATGCAAACAAACAAAAGTGACAGGTGCACCACCAGCAATCCAGCATCTTGACACCTCCACCCTAGAGACAGAATAACTAAATAGAAATATTGATTCATTTGCAGTCAGGAAGTATTAATGCATTAAGAGATGCAGCCAGGTTTGGTTTGTTATCCAAAGGGCTGCATTTTCCATAAAAACGAGTAAACCCTCCCCACACGCAGCGTCGTTTCACCACACGTAAATCAATTTGAACATGGGAGCCGGTGTGTCACACTGCAGCTTTGTCCCCATCTCTGTCCAACCGTCTCCGCTCTGACAACTGGGAAGGCTGCCAGCTGCATCCGTGCCACTAAAGGACAAACTCTGCTCTCCGGGCCTCCTTCTGCAGCCGACCGAAGGCGGAGGCTCGAGCAATCAGCAGCACTTACATCACTACATCCGCCGCTCTAACAGTTAGACGTAATCCCTCCAATCCAATTACTCAGGTTAACCGCAATACCGTCTCGCTGGCGCCCATCCAACCCTGTGTTCAGCTGGGGAGGCAAAACCAAACGGGATCAATTTACATATTAGATAACTACACCTGTTAGAGATATGAAATACTACGTCTGATCCAGGCTGGTGGCGATTAATCAGCTGATTTATGAATCTCACACTAAACAATGCCATTTTCAAAACAAAAAGGGACCTTTTCTTAAATAGAACTAATTCACACGGAGGAAAGGTTTGCATTTCTCACACGTCAAAAGGCAAACGGCAGGTTTTAATGTTTTTGCCTGCGTCTCTGCATCCTTATTTCGAAAATATCCCAAGAACAACCATTAGGAAAGAACATTGTTTTATGTACAGCTGGTAAAACCGGATTCAAGATGGCCACCACACCTGACCCTTAGCAAATGCAGAAATGGTCCAGAAATTTTAAGAAACCTGATATTTTTAAGAGATATTTCGCTGAAATTCAGCATTATATAAACAAAGAGTCATCCTCATCACACACACACACACACACACACACATACACACACACACTAACCCATCACAGTAGCTCTATTAAAATCACACTTTTACGTCTGCTAGCATGATGCACTAAACTGATTTAATTAAACTATGAGGGATAATCACCCAGTTACATCTCTGGGTGGTCAACTTCAAAGTAAAAATCATTCAAGGAAAGCTAAAAGACATGAAAAAAAAGGTCAGCCTTGCAGATATTTAGCTAAATTGTTGCATAACTGCTGAAAGCTCATCTAAACACGTGGCTAACAGAAGCTGTAGGAAATCCTGAGTAAGATTGTTTGTAGCAATATCAATTTTTTACATAAAAAAGAATACTTTGGTTATTTTCTAAATAAAAAATGTCAGTGGTGTGCATTTCTTCTGCTATGCCTTAGGTTAGGAAATGTTAAGGTAAAATTTGTAAGAATGACACCCGGTGGTCAAATGAGGTAACTGCAGTCCATTTTCCTAAGCAATAAAAATCACTTTCATGGTTGTTGACAGTTACGGATCAATACCAGAAGACTCTAGATGACAAAAACGAGTCAAAAACACCAAGTTGATAAGTAGATAAATATGTTGTCATATCTGCTGTTAGCTCGCAGGTGTTTTACGGTAGGGAGCACTTACTATGGTTATTACAGTAATATGCCTCCAGCATTTCAGGAAGTGATTGTCATCTTGCGGTTATCGTTCTGAACAACTCATTAAAGGAAGTAAAACGTCACGACTGACTCATTCACTTCCCTCACACATTTCACTGTAATTTCCAGTGCTTGAGACATTTTTAGAGCAGACCATTTGCTTCTAATTCACCGTTAGCATTTTTAGCTCAACGTTAGTCTCTAGCCTGCTCCACCTGATATCAGAATAAAACAAAAAGATGCCATGGCTTCTTAGGGGTACAAGAAATAACTTGTTCTGTTTGCTGGCTTCGGTTCTTTAAACTACTTTGGGGCTTTTTTCCTGCTGGTGTTGAATTACAAGTGTTGGCGCTGCAGCGTTAGCTTGACGCCCACTTGACAACCTCACTAACTCACTTACATAAACAGTAACTGCGTCCTGCTTTGGTTTCTTTTCTTTTTTTTTTATTCTTTTGAGAAAAACTGACCCCCCAGCCGACTGAGAATGAAATCAATTTCAGTAGAACCTTCCTTCCAACGTGATTGAGACGTTAGTTTTGTGATTATTTCACAGTAAGATTCTTACATATTGCTCCTTTAAGCAGATCCATCTGTTACAGATTAATAACCTGGTGCAGTCTCATCTGCTCTGCTTCAGGAGCTGGAGGTTAAAGTTTTATTCCATTCATGTGAATGCATTTTATCACCGCCGTCTCTAAAGAGCTAGCCTGATGGCGTTAATCTGATTATTCTGTTTGGGCAGAGATAATAAATCATCTGCCTGATATTTTACTAAATAACTTTGTTATTAGAGCATGCGGTGTTATGATCAGATTAAAAGGGAAGCAACTGCTAGACTACAGAGTTTTTCCATCACACAGAATGACGTTCTGCCGTGGAAGCGTTCCTAACTTCCAGCCCGAGGTGGGATCATTCCAACACGGAAGCAACATCACGCAGTCTGAGCAATAAAACGGACACATCAGCAAACGTGCCAAACTCGTGTGCTTTATCAAAAAGCCCCTCCACCCTCGTCAGATGTAAGACAGATGACCTATGACCCTCACGTGGACGGGAATGACGAAAGGCAAGCAGGCAACACTCCATCAGCGGAGCAACAATTCATTTAGCTCAATGAAGATAATCAGAGCACTGATGTTTTCCTCTGAGCAAATCATAAAATCCATGTTTCGTCACACCTGGGAATTCGTCAGCTTTAATCTTCACCCAGGGCTCTTGGATGTTCCCATGGAAAACCCTTCATTTAAACATGGAGGTCTGAGAGGGCGAGGGATGTTTGTGTGCATGCACGAGTGAGAACCTGCAGGTCTCTGAGGTCCAAACCCCTCTAAGGAGATCCTCGGAGGAGTCGGCCACACAGCTAGCCTGTTACAGAGTTTACGTCTGACGGGAAGCTGCATGGGTCCAACCCCGAGCTGGATCCTCAGCCATCATGCGGAGTTTAGGTTAGCGCACACGTAGGCGTTTCTTTTGTGTGGTAATGAAATAAGATAAAGTAAAACGAGTTGTAAGATCAGAGAGGAGTGTTGCTACTTGAGGAGCGAGGAGAGGCCATGGAGTAGAAAGAAAATACTCCGGGAGCTGTGGAAGGCGAAGGATCCAGGCTCAGGTCCACAAATGAGCCTGAGCAGGAAGCAGAAACAAGCTCCATTTGTCTAATCCGTACTGCAGTGACACTTTCTGGTCACTGCTGTAAACAGTTGCTGCATCAATAATAAAAATAGATGAAGGATGATAAAAGAGGGTTTTTCCACAAAGGCATGCTACCATTATTTTGTAGATGTAATTCCCTTCCTGCACCATGTCATCATGAGGCAGAGGCATGAAGATGCTCATGGAGGAGGGAACGACAAGGAGACATGTTGCTGCCATAATTCAGCTCCTGTTGGATTTGTTCCTTCTGCTTTGTGTTGAAGAGGTTCTAAACTGGAGTCCAATTTTGGTCCTTGAGGGCCACCATCCGTCAGCTTTTACTGGTTTCCAACACACCTGATTCTGAGTCTGAACTTCTGCAGAAGCCTGTTAATGACCCATTGCTTACCGCAGGTGTTGGATGAGGAGAACATCTGACACATGCAGGACGGTGGCCTTGGAGGACCAGGATTGGACACCAAGAAGGAATGTCTAACATCCTGTAAATATTCCATCATGATGTCAGTTTTCCTTCAGGTCCTTGTGGACAACAGAGGTGGGCCTACTTAGAATAAAGTTCGGTCATGACCATCACATGTAAATGAGCAGAACCCAGCAGCAGCCGCGCTGCTGAGGGAGCATCGGATCACTCACCACAAGAAAGCGCCGCCACGCAGACGAAGGGAGTCCATCTGAAATCCCGGGCACCTGACATGGTAGAAATCCCAGTTTGGTAAATCCCAGTGCTTCCAGTAAGCCAGTCAGTGGGGAGTCGGCGCAGAGCCGAACCGAACCTCTTAGTCCGCGGGCCTCCACTTCCCGACACTGGCGCAATTCTCCTCCTTAGCAAGTCCTGCAAGTTGGATGATGCGCAATACAGATGTGTGCTTTGCGCGTGTGTTTGGGAGCGGGAGCGTGACGGTGCGCGCGGAGGCGCCGATGAGGGTCTCTTTGGATAACGAATAAAAATAAATAAATAATGAAGAGGTCGTTCGGAACCGAGCAGAGCCCAGATAGAGTCTTCAGGAGCGGCAAAGCCACGTCTCGCTCCCAAACGGAGGACAAAGTTCCAGCGGGATCCGGATCCAGATGATGGGAAAACTGGGAGCAAAGACAGGCAGTATTCCCGAAACGGGTCCGAACCCTTCCAGGAGACCTGGCAAAGGCCACCCCCTCCTTCCTTACAAGAGTGGAGAGATGGTGCGCGCACCGGAAACCCGCGCGCCTCCAAACGCAGCCCAGACCAGAACTAATGGGTCACAGGTAATGGTTCTGGTCACAGTGTAAAAGAGAGAGAGAGAGAGGGGGGGGGGGGTCAAATAGAAAATCCCTGGAGCAAATTATGGAAACAGATGATGGAGAGATCAGTTGGACCGCGCAGGCTCGGCTCACTCTCTGGTTTCGGTCAGAATCCACATCAGAGAAGAGAAGGTCTATCTGGAGCTGCGGGACCAGAACCAGAAGCTCCAGAATCAAAGAAAAAAAGGTCCGAACACCCGTTCATGCCCCGATTCGGGTCTCCAGAGGTTCAGCCACCGCAGCGCGTTGCGACAGTCAGCTGGGAATCATGGTTCCGTGTCCAGAAGGAGCGAGAACACCCAGAAAACTCGTTTCCTGGATGATTTTCTTTACTTTGGCTCGTGAAACCGGAGCGGCGCATCCCCGGTGCCGCTTCACCGAGAGTCTGAACCCCTGCCAAGTCCACCGAACTCCGCGTTTTTTCCTCCTTCTTCCTGGAGTCTGCGCGTTTTCAGTCCAGATTAAATCCCCCTGACTGGCACGTTTCTGCGGGACACGCAGCTCACGCGCCGCTTCACGCACCAGCTCTGGTGTCCAGTCCAGGTGTACAACTCCGCCCCAAAGTCAACAGGCTCACCTTAAAATGTCAAAGCCGCAGCTGCTGACCAATCAAGCGTCGTATGATACACGTGCTGTATCCGGTGATTCCTTTCAAACTAAAACTCCATCAAACGTTTTATTTTATTTTATTTTTATTTATTTTTTTACTTTTAAGCATTTGCTCCTCGGTCCATACTGATGTCCTCCCCTTCCCCAATACAAATATAAACAAATGAAAAATCAAACAAAATAAATAAAAACGTGTAAGCTAGCTAATAGTAGTCTACTTAAAACAATATACATAAATAATTTCTTATTGTAAAAAAATAAAGAAACCTTAGCTGAATATGTTCCTTTTAACTCAGAAATTATTTTAATTAAATACCAAACTAAACTAGACAATTTGGTAAATTATTTTTCTAAATAAAGCTAAATATTTTGTATCATATTTTGCAATCAGGGTTGTTTGCTTTGATTCAGAATCTAACGTGTTTCTATTTGGCATGACTCGGTTTAAAGCATTCCAGCTGCACGAACCCCTGTAGTTATGTTTCACTTTGATTCAAAGGTAAAATCGTCACATGAAAGAACAACGGGGTCTTTTATTTTCAAATCCATAACGCTAACTTCCGGTTACATCCTTTTTTGGTCTGGTAAACTTGACCTAGCTCAAACCTGGCTTCGAGGACCAAGCTTAATCACGTGATCGTGACCTTTATGAAATAAAATAAACTGTTTTTCTTTACTTGTCAACGTTTTTCTTCTCTCACTGATGATTCCCTTACTTTTATTCATGATTTAAGTCTTTTAAATCACCTAAAACACGGAGAGTTTAAATGATAACCCAGTTCCACCTGGTTTTTAGTTTATTGGGAGAATTTTTTCTTTTAATTAAACGATTACAAAATTGGAATAGAATAGACTTTATTGATCCCACAGTGGGGATATTCACTTAAAGAAGCACATACACTTAAGAGAAAAAAATAAAAATATAATAATAATAATACAGGTAAACACCTAAGTAATTAGGCTACTACCGTAACATTCAGCACTAAAAAAATGCATAAAAATAGACTAAAACGAAAACAGAAAATTGACTTTCCACAAAGAAACTGAGACTTTTTAATATACTTGTTGCGTAATTATTGCTATATTTTGGTGTGATTTGTGTTTTTCACATTCAGTTAGGCCAACATAGTTCTATATAATAAAAAAATAAAGGTGATAACAGAGTTTAGGTAACTCGTTAATTTTCACCTGTCAGGTACTTACTTAGTCTTTGATCTTAACCCTCCTGACATGGTTTGGGGAATGCATTTAACCCAAGACATGCAGAATCACACACTCACAGATCTTACGGTAAAAAAAAAAGAATCTTTATGTTAAAATGTGAAGGTGCACTGGAAAAGCCCAGTGGAGATCGAGAACGGGAGCGCAGCGTCTCAGGAGGGGAGAGCAGATACGGGTGAGTCCAGGAAGGTAAGTCTAAACTTGGTGGGTGCAGAGAATAGACTTACTGGGAGTAGGGAAGCGTAGGAATGAGGGAGAGTAGGTTGGGTGGGGGTGAATCCAAGTGGGGTGTCCAGGAGAGGGAGCGAGAGGAGAGCAGGAGAGCAGGCTGGGCGGGAGGAATGGAGAACGGTGAGAGCTGCATCCGGAAATCCTGTAAGCACAGGTGAGTAATCCAGAGGAGTCGCAGAAAACCAGAGACGTAATCCAGAGAAGTCACAGAAGTCCAAAAACGTTCCAAAACCTGGTAACGGGTAACCACAGGGGAAAGATCCAAAGGTTCACAAAAAGTCCTAGAAACACTAGAGCACAAAATCCAAGAGTCGCAAGAGGGCAGGACACTACCAAGCTGTAGTAATCATCCGGCGTCAAGGAGTGTTCTCCATCCTCCTTTTGTAACCAGACCCGCTGATTGCAAATCAGCTCTAGCTGGAGCCTCCCTCTCCTGAAACACACAACTCAAAGATGGGAAAATGAGAGGAGTACTCACCCTGCCACATGACACCACCCACTGTCTTTGTGGTGACCCCATGAAGAAAGTTGACCATTGAGCAGGACTGATGGTTTATCCCTTGAGATCCATGTGGCAGGGGTGAGGTGGTGCTCACTCCTCACTCTGCCACATGGACCCAAGGGAAAAACCATCAACCCTGCTCAATGGTCAACTTTCCTCATGCGGTCACACCCATTAGGACAGTGGGAGGATTAAAGGGAAAGTTTGGCAATCATCATCACTATACAGCAGATTTCAGCTGGAATTATTCCAGTTTGGAGAATCAAGTAGAAATTATCACTCCTCATACAAAAGAAATTGGATCACAAACTGATCCATTTAAAAATATAACTTGTGTGTGTGTGTGTGTGTGTGTGTGTGTGTGTGTGTGTGTGTGTGTGTGTGTGTGTGTGTGTGTGTGTTGTTTTAAATGCTATATATAGAATCCAGTTTCTAAACCCCCAAACCATTCGTTTAAGGATTATTATATATCATCTAAAGCTCGAGGATGGTAATCCTATGGATTGTGTTGTTTTTTTCTCTCAGGGCTAAGTCGTATTATGAGTTCATCAGAAAATAATAGATAAGTGAAGGTCCGTCTTATATTTTTAAGTAAAATTTGATTTAGGGCCAAATTTTGACTCGAGATGGCTGCCGCAGCTAGCCAACATTAGCTAAAACAAAAGAAGTGGTTCCAATTTAGTCAACTTTACATAAACTGAACCAAAATTTGGTGGAGTAGCTAGAAGTGCACCTCTATCACCACCTCAAAGAGCAAAGAGAATGTGCTCGATCTTTGTTTATAACTTTGCTGTTAGCTTCTGACTGTTAGCTAAATGTGTGATGGACGAATTTCATGAAGCATTAAATTATTGGATTAAGTTCTGAAGTTAATCTAATTCAAGATGGATGATCAGTTGAACTTCTAAAATATTAAAAAAAAATACTTTAACTCAGGTTACAGATAAGATTTGGTACCAGTAGATGTTCTTCAGATGGGCATGAAGGGTGTCAAGTGATAGTTCCTTTCACGACCGTTATAAAAGTTGGATGTTTACCAGACTCTACGTGGTCCTCTCCTGCTGGTGAATCTTGTCTTCAGGCTGACCCAGGGTGATGATAGGACAGCTTCTAGAGCATCACATGAAGACATTCAGAGACCCTGTTCATCAAGTCCTCCAAAATCCCCTGAAAGACTTTGTGAGTCGGTGTAATATTAGTAAACAGTAGATAGACTTCATACGAGTCATGCAATATTAAAACTCCCGAACAGGAACAAGAAGTAAAAGTCTCTCATATCTTTGTTTTTGTCATTAATATGAAAATTCAAATAAAACATAAAAAGTCATTTGTTTTAATAAGAATTTTACCTCTCCAGGAGCTGACGATGCTCTCAGACATTGTGTTACCCTCAACAGATCAAAGAAGATACTCTCAGAGTTAGGATACCAATCAATTGAGTGTGATCCCAATCACTCCACTCCCTACATTTCTACTGGAATAACTGGGGAAAATGGCCAAGTACTTTCTTTAATGGAGCAGGATGTAAGAAATCTACAGTGAAATAATCACAAAACAGGCTAATGCCTCAGTCATGCTGGAAGGAAGGTTACACTGAAAGACATTTCATTCTCAGCCTGCTAGGGGGTTGTCAGATTTCTCCTTTAAATAATGGATGGATGGATGGATGGATGGATGTGGTCATTGAGTGTTTCTCAATGTCAAGGCGCCTGGCTTTGCGAGGCGATGTCTTGCGAGGCCAGGCGCCTTGCTTACGAGGACAATGTTCTTCCTTGGTCAAAGAAAACGGTTAAATGTAACAGACTTGCATCACGTGACCGCGGCTTCCACGGCAGTCACGTAACGTCACGTGACACGGGAGATAACGTTATATTTTATACGTATTAGTTTCAATATAAATATATAATGAGCCTTTAACTTTTTAAATTGTGTATATGTTTATTAAATAAAAAATATAAGGTAGTTTCTACCCGCTAGCCACCGAAGCCGCAACTACTAAGCAACTAACCAACCATAGATAACTTCTTTGGATCTAAACAAAAAACATTTTTAATTAGCTGACTTACTTTTAAACTTGACATTTGTCCCCAAAGTAGCTGCCGGCTTCTGATCCGCCGTCTTTTTGAAAATACCACGGTGTATTCTGGGAAATTTTTAACCAAGGCTAGGCTACAAGACACCTCCCGTGTGTCCTTGCTCAGCTAGCTAAACGGCTAACAAATGGAGAACACACGCCTCGGTAGAACATGAACATTGGAACACATCTTGGCGTCTTGGTGGCTCCCGATGACGTATCTCCTAGGCAACCGGGGCGGGGCCAAGACATCAAGGCAAGGTTCCTTTGCCATTGAGAAACACCCATTGTTTATTCTGTGACTGGGAGATTAGAATCTGCATCGAGCTAGCGCTGTAGCGCTGGCATTTGCAGTGGGACACAGTCAGGCAAAAAGCTCTAGAGGTGTTTAAAGAACCAACGCCAGAAAACAGGTGCGACCCAAAAGCTATTTCTTGTACCCCCAAGAAGCCACGCTATCTTTTTGTTTTACTCTAATATCAGGTGGAGCAGGCTAGAGGCTAACATGGAGCTAACAAAGCTAACTGAGTAAGAAGCAAGTAGTCGGCTCTAAAAATGTCTCAAGCTACCTTTTCAGTTACCAACAACTGGAAATTAGTGTGAAACGTGTGTGTGAAGTGAATAATGAATCGTTCGTGGCGTTTCACTTCCTTTAATAAGTTGTTCAGAACAACAGCAAGCTAGCAGCAAGACGGCAAACTGCAAGAGGCATTCTACGATTCACACCAGAGATGAATATGTAATTATTAACTTATAGAGTTACTGTGTATGACTCGTCTTTGCTTGTCTTCTAGAATGTTCTGGTGCTGATCAGCTGTTAAACTCACAGAACAGTAGTGAAAGAGTAACTTTTTCTTTAGAAAACTGGCCTCCAGTAACCAAATTTGACCATGTGAAGTCGTTCTTACATGTTGTCC